AGAGTGGCCTAACGGCGCTGCCCAGGCAAAATTTGAAGTCATGGGTTTGTTTATGGGTTTGCTACCCTTGCGCCATGGAATTGATCCTTTGTTCAAATCTCAAACCATTCTTGCTTTACAAACGCCATCAGTAGGCACGTCGGAAACCTCAGGAAATCAGTGTATCGTTTGCGCGTCATGCAGTTAGTTGAACCACACTGTGTTTCAGTTAAGGAACCATCACCAACACAGACATACACTGTACCGCACTATTGCTACTTCATTAACGGAAACGACAATCTTGTTTCTCTGTGTTTACGCTGCGGTTCTACTCCCCAACTGTAAAATAAACACAGACCCGGATTCTGCTTGCGGGATGTGTTTTGTTGTAAATAACCGTATGTTGTGACGCGAGCTGCAGGTTTCTAAAGGTCGGTCTTGTGTGATTCGATTCGCTTTGTTGCGGCCTTAGATTGGTTCTCCCGTGTGAATTGTCTACTGTATGGTTGTCATTGTGTCAATGTATGGCCGAGTTGTTGGGTAGGGAACTATATCTTCTGTGGGAAGGGCACTTGTTGCGTTTGCAGTGGTTTGGAGAACGCCAGTGCATTGTGTGTGGATTTATTGATATTATTTTTTGCTGCTGTTGTAGGGTTGTGATGGAGTTGTTCAATTTATGTTGGTTGTAGAGCTATAGAGTTGTTTAGTATTATGTTTATAGATCTGTAGTGGAGTTGTTTAATTCGTGTTTATAGAACCGTGGGGATGTTATGTTACATGCTAATCACTAGTAGTAGTAGTCGTCGTAGCTGTGGTATTGGTGGTACTAGTTGGAGTAGGAGTAGTAGTAGTAGTCCCCTCGCCAGTAGTAGTATAAGAACTACTAATTGCGACGGTAGTTGAAGTCGGGTTGAATTACGAGTGAGAGAGAGAGAGAGAGAGAGAGAGAGAGAGAGAGAGAGAGAGAGAGAGAGAGAGAGAGCTTAAGTTTATTCATCGTTTGTGAATAGACCTTATTGTCACCGAGTCTGTATTACAGATGATTATTTTTAGCTCAGTACTCAGTTACCGTCGGCTCTGTGGCTTAAGTCGATGCGAACGCTTCGTAATGCCGGGATGCCGGGCTCGATCCCAGCCGCGGGCCATGCGCCTTGCGTTGGTTTCGACAGTGGTATCAAGAAAGCCTACCGTCCAGAAAGCAACGGCAAACTACTGGACGTGAATTTACCTAGAAAAACCACACAACAGCCAGGGACTGCTGGGGTTGTTCTGCAACGTTCTCTAAAGGATACACCTTAACTCAGTTACCATGTCTAATAGCACCGTTGACAGACTAGGATTTATTGGATTTCTCAGTCATTCACTGTTTATCGCCATCAGTATATCGTTAATTTGTACAGCTTATTGTGTTAACGGCGTTGTGTTTCTGGTTATCATTCGATCCACCCAATTGCCCCCTCCTCTCCCCTTTCCACTCCCCCAGGCTGATAACTATGGTTTATCACATTCGTGGTGGGGAGAGGGGACGGGCTGAATGGTCTCGAGGTATGGTGTCCACTTCTAGGGCTAGAGGTCCCGGGCTCAAAACCCCGGTGAAGTCTGGGATTTTTTTCACGTGAACTACTACCCTGGTCTCTGGGTAGTAAGATCGGACGCTCGTGTGTATTCTTGCGCAGGTAAAGAAATCAGTTGGAAATCGAAAAAAGTAGCCTAAAGGCACAGCCCTTGCAAAATTTTGAGTTAAAATTAAAGCCAAAATATTTAAGGATCTTTGTCGGTGCAGCGGAGTTCGTGCACTGCGCTGAGATTCTTCAGACAGACTCAGGTTTGAGTTATAAGTAGAATGAAGCACTTATGGGTTACACCCGTATGCCAGTATGTAGATCCGTCGAATAAACATAAACATATCATGCCATCCAGCGAGCTCTAGCAAGGGAAGAGGTCCCAGCGAGGACAGAAAAAGCGCTTCGAGGACACTTCCAATATTGCTTTCAACTCTTTTGGCGTCAACCCAGCTACATGGCAGGCTGCTGCACAGGACAGTTCTGGGTGGCGTAACTCCCTCAAGCATATGGTATCAGCCTGTCAGGCAGCGGAGGTTGCACACACAGACAGCGGAGGTTGCACAGACAGCGGAGGTTGCACAGACAGCGGAGGTTGCACAGGCACGGGAGGTTGCACAGACAGCGGAGGTTGCACAGACAGCGGAGGTTGCACAGACAGCGGAGGTTGCACAGACAGCGGAGGTTGCACAGACAGCGAAGGTTGCACAGACAGCGGAGGTTGCACATGCAGAGAAACGGAGGCAAACAAGTAAGAACCGTATCGCTAATCTCACAACTAGTGCGGCTTCCAACTGTTGCCTGCACTGCTCAAAATCTGTCCAGGCTCATGTTGGACTAGTCGGCCACTTTCGTACTCATAATCATTGATCATTACTACTTTGGATGAAATGTGGTCTTCATTACTCGTGATAGACGAACAACAATATCATAGTCACACCATCCTGAGATTAACTAATCTTAAATTGGACGGCACCCCAACATGGCAGATCCAAGATACCCCTTCAACTTCCAAAGAAGTTAGCGTTAGGACACCGCTAACAGCTACATCAGACAGGTTGAACCTGCAGTTCTGTGTGGATGAGGACCCGTTTCTTCTTGGCTTCCGACCATTGAACGTTGAATTAAGAATCGACATCATAGCACTCGGGACACTCCCATAATGGCTAGGTCCCCATCTTCAGTAGACAAGAGTTCCAGTTCCAATGGCGCCAGTAACTGTCAAACTACTAATGTTAACTGTTAGGTTGTAGCCGGTTGTTGCTTTGGGCAACTTTTAATGCGGAGGGGCGAATGCATTTGTGAAATATTAGAAATTGAACTAGCAGGCTCGTCTCTCATGCAGCCCATCCGTTCACCGATTTTATTTCTCTTTTAAAGCATGTTTCGCGCATATTTGATTGGCATCTATCCGTCTTTCAGACGATAGTGTTATACTGTCCTTCCCTCAGTGCGGACCCCAGCGTCCGATGGCCAGTAGTACCAGTTCTATGTTGATTAACAAGGTCCTCGCCCGGCTCTCTAGCGTCGTTCGCTAAACCGGATTGCCCGGTGACCGGGTGACGAACTCCTTGTGGTTCGGGTTCACTCCCGGGGGTAGGCAGAAAAGCCACATTTCTCCCAGATTTACGGTATTTATCATGGAATCAAGGCCGAAAGGTTACGATATCCATAATACCGAGCCTAAGGGTTAACAACTCATGGCTTCTGGATAAAACAAGGTCCTTTGATGTGCCTTGTGTGCCTCTGGGTTTTTTTTTTCTATACCGATCGTTACTCCCAGGCCTGTCATTCTGGCGAGTGATGTGGATTCACTGCCCCCAAAGTGCTCCACCCGTTCCGTTTCTCGGAGGGCTGTTGTAGAGTTTCTCTGACGCTATCTTTCCATCTTGGTCTTGGTCTACCCTGTGCTGTTGTACGTCCTTCTCCTCCTTTGGTGGATATCTTGTAAAATATGCCGTCACGAGGTATTCTCTCCAAGTGGGCAGGTCATTTGGTTTAATATCTGTGTATGTAATTTACATTTTAGGACGTGTTCTGTGCCGACTTAGACTCCTCTAACCTCCTTCCGTCAACCGTGAGCGGTAACTTTTTGAAACGATATTTGGAATTTACAAACAGTGTAGCGTGCTTTTCGGCGTGATGTTGTCCACATAATCCTTCTAATGCCTTGTTTGTCTATTCAAACAAATATTATCCGAGCACCATATGGCCCGAGGCACGACTGGCAGAGAGTCCGTTACTGTTACTTTACCATAAAGCGGCGTTGGTCATTAGTAATTTACTTTATGGAAAAGGCCATTAACTTTAGTGACCGTAACTTAATCTAGTTGGCATAGGCGTCGGAATGTGGGGTGGGGGAGGGGGTGCTCAGGTCCCTTGATCGCCCCCCCCCCCCCAATAATTTCGTAAGTGGACGTGGAGGCTCCCTTTAACCATGCACTAAAAGACCAATGTCCCCGACCCCCCACGCAAGATTATGTGCCTAGAAAACTCGTAACATGGTGAGGAGGACATGGTTGGGTTTCTTATTTCGGTGGGGGAGGAGTGAGCATAAAAAAGTCTGAGCTTCCTTACCTCCACTGATTTTTTCCCGTCTAGGGGTGCTGAATGTCCCCTCCTCTTGGAATGTTTTCTTACTTTGGCAGAGCACCCCCCCCCCCTTTTTCCCCCATCTCCCCCCCCCCCCCACCCAATTTAATGGCTAAAAATGTACTTCGAAGTGGGTGGAGAGGTTAAGAATTCTCTCCCCCTCCCACAGTATTTTCTTCGTGGGGCCGCTTCTGCAAGTTGGTCATTATAATTTAATTGTATGGACTCGGTAAGTAAAGTAAAGGACCCTTTTCCACGCCTTTAGGCGTATAGGGCATATAGGGCTAGACCTATATTTTTATAGACCAAGATGGGTGATGTGGTCAGCGGCCGCCTTTACTTTACCGGGACTGCACCCGGTGCCCACTCAAGGCTGGGTCGACCTGGGAGCCAAGGTTATGGACAAGCCATTTGGTTTAATGACCATAACAGCAATGTAATCTAGATGTTCTAGCTTGAGATAGACCTTTGCTAAGCTCGTGCGTGTATTCAATCAGTTTATTATTGATATTAGCTTGATTTTAATGTGTCTACAATTGTGTATAAGATTATCCATGGACCTAAGCTGTAACTGCCACAAGAAATTCACATTTTAGTTTAAGAATATATTTTGTGACTCTTGAATATAACCATTTAATATTCAAGAACGTTTGGATGTATAGATACTTTACTGAACATAAATAAGAAAATATAAAACATAGACACGAAAGTATCCGCCATAAACGGGACAGTATAAGCAATAAACGGTACAGTATCGGCTATAAACGGTACAGTATCGGCTATAAACTGGACAGTATCAGCTAAATACGGGACAGTATCAAGAAGAAAGCATCCCTCATCGAAAGCTTCCAGTAGCGTTTTTTCAAGATGCTAGCCAAAAAGCTGCTCAGTTTCAAGCCAGGCTCGGCCGAGAACTTCGAGAACTTTCATGACTCGGAGAAGATGAAAACGACCCTGGACGAAAGCGGAGAGCAGGCCTACCGGGCTCGGGCTGGTCGGAAACGTCACAGTGTCCAGCTGGACAAGAAACTGACCCAGCAGCTGTTGAATATGGATCGGCGGTCCAGCACCATCAGCACGGGCACGGCGGACTCGCTGTGTAAGTTGAGCATTCTGTGCTGTGTTGGCTGTTGGTGTACATGTTTGTGTCATCATGTTTGTGTGTGTCATCCTGTTTGTGTGTCATCCTGTGTGTGTGTGTCATCATTTGTGTTTATGATGTATCATGACAGGTAGTTAGATGCAGCGGGTAAAACTAACGTTAGTCTCCCCATTTACACAGCGTTACACACTACCGCACTTCTGATTGGTAGACCTTGAGCCACGCAAATTGTCACAAGGTTACGGGGTTTTTCCACAATGGCGTTGTTATGGCGTATTGTATATTTCAGCACGCCAGCGCTTTTTACACTCTAAAAACTTGGACAAACTGTGTCTAACACAACCCCTCTAGAGAGAGCTGCAACCTATGTCACAGGCATTCTCTTTTTCGGAAGAAAAACGTGAATGCAAGACAACCAAGAAAGCAAACAGAAGAGCAGCACACCCGTAACCTGCATAAAGGTAGACCAGCCCAACAAACTTGTGAATAAAACGTGACCTACTTTGTTTGGAGAGACTAACCTAAACCTAAGCGATACAGGGTGTGTGATACCGGGAAGGCGTATAGTGCTTCAGTCAAAGGACATACTGTGTGACATCTGGGTTGGCATAGTGTAACGCCAGCTTGCAAAATAATATGTCATACCAGGTAGAATTATAGTTTGTCATACCAGATATATATTATGTGTGTGTGTGTGTGTGTAAAGGGGGGGAGGTGGGGGTGATTTTTAGGATATTAATATGGGAAGTTTTGTATGGTAGGCATATGTGTCATCCGTGTAGACATAAGTTTCATTAAGTGTGGTTCTGGTGAGTTTACCTGGGTAAGCAAAAAGTGTGTCATCCATGTAGACACGCAGTGTGTCATCCGGGTGTGCTTATAATGTGTCATTACAGTGGGTACATGGTGTTATACCGGGTTGGCATATAGTATGTCATTACTGTAGACATACCGTGTGTCATCCGGGTAGACTTAGTGTCACGCCAGCTAGAAATGTAGTGTGTCATACCAGAAAGGCAAACAGTATGTCATACCAGTAATGTATTTAGGATAATACGACTATGAGAAGGTTTATATAGCACGCTAATCGTGAGTCGTATCATATGAACATATAGTGTGTGTGTGTGTTATGTCACGTAGACAGGTAGTTTGTCATACCAGGCAGACATATCGTGTGTAGTATCATTTGGCATATAGGGTGTGTTATATCATGTAGGCAGATAGTTTGTAGTCAGTATTTTGTCATACCAGCCAGGCATATAGTATGACGTATCATATGGGCATACAATGAGTGTTGTATTCTATAAACATATAGTTTGTCATTTCAGGCAGCCATATGGTATAATTTGTAAGAGATAAATATGGGATGGTTTTATGGCAGGCATAGAGTACGTCATATGTAGGCATATGGCGTGCCAAACTAGGCAGACATGTAGAATGATTTATTAAGTAGGAATGTGGGAATGTGTTATGAGGTAGATTTATATCGTGTCATACCAGGCATGCGGAAGACCGCACATAGAGCAATAGCAAACCACTAAAGTAAAACCGCCCAGTAAAATCACCAACGTGCAACACATGCGGGGTTGGTTTGCGACTCTACGTAAAGCCTATATAACTGACTGTTAACAAGCGTGTATTCATGACTTGAATAAGATCATAACATTGCAGGCTCAACGACAACATGCATACAGTAAACACTGTACAGTCCCCATATTGTGCATGTCAGACAGAATCACAAACACCTAAGAACATTCTGCAGACCTGCCAGATTTACTTACAACTACGAAGAGAAGAAACCTGACCTCAAGAGCAGAGTGTGCAGAGCAAGCTATGACATGGAGGACCTGCAAGTGACATGCAAGACAACCCACCTGGCGGTATGACCTGCGCATTCGAACCTAAACGAGAAGAAGAAGAAGAAACATGATGATGCTGCCGAGGTCCTGGTCTTTAACAACCGTCTATTCTGACACAGTGGTTTCCTTCAAGTCTTCTTTGTAATTAATCCTGGTGATTGTTCCTTGCATAATTAGTTCCCGCAATACGGTTTTGAAATACAGCCAAAACCTTGAAACCTGCAAAAAGATGAACAAATCAATAGCCGAGGCCACCCGAGAAGCGCAGGACAAAAACAGAAAACCACGACACTGGGCTACAACCTAGCATCAGTGAGAAGACCCACCCCCTCCCCCTTCCCATATATGAGGTTCCATCTTCACCTGCCAACTCAGTATTTAAGTTTTGCTCAGAATCTGGTCTTAGTCAATGCATTATATGGATGCCAGTAATATCAACCTACGCACTCCTTGAATTTGAACAGAAATCGGGAACTCACAATCTTACCACAACGCCTCTAATGTGTTTTAATCTTTGCATTGCTATGGTCATCCTCCCTTTGACTCTCACATTGATGTTCCCTCTTTATCAACCAACTCGATATGTATGTGATAGCGGGAAGAAAGAAGAAGGGAAAACAAGAAGAAAGTAAGGAGAAAGGGAGAGAAAGAACAAGGAGAACATTGTGATTAGACAAAAGTCATAGTAGTTCCCCGCTAAACAACAAAAACAGAAAAGTCAAGAAAAGACAGGGGTTCTCCGCAGAGATCCCAGATATTTCAGCGAGACCCTAACTATGGATATCTGCATAATAACGTTACATGACGTCGACCTAACTACAAGGGTACACACACCTAGACAACCACGGGCTACAGATCCTAAATTAAGCCAAACAAATGAATTATGATCACATTAAACAGTTTATTTTACTCAACATTACATCAGCGTGGTCAACAAATAATGACATTAAGGACGACAAACTGCTGGAACAAAATCTCAAATACATAGCGCTCTACCATCCAACTATCTCTTAGCAAGAATACAAACGAAGATCTATTTTAAAACCATCTAACCAACTGACGTACCGTGATCCGAGCCAATCTAGCGTCGTTCAGCTAGTCCGGTCTGACGCATCTGTGCACTGCGACCAAGTGCAGTCGACAACGAAAACAGGGCGCTTGACCGTAGCAAGCCGGAGTTACCACCAGATAGAAGAAGGCCAAATAATTGTCAGTCAGCCGTTTAAATACCTCAGTGGCCAGATTTTTTCCGTGTTACCGTCTAACACTAATAAATGGTAATGTTTGTCATTTTGCCTGTTGGCTATTTTCAAACCAGAATAAATTCGAGATCTTCAGGCTGCTGAACCGTATGTTTCCAGCCTGTTACATGTACATTATACTTAAACTCTTGTCCAGATTCAACACAGTATTGTGATCATTGGCTGTATGCCAATCACAACAGCTTAATACCCTCTTTGAATTTCAACAGAACTCAGAAACATGCTTACCACAAGGCCCCTTTTGCAAATCTATCTAAGCTGAATGCAATGGCGCCGCTAATATACCATTATAATGAAGTCTTCAAGCGTTCATCTAACATTCCGAAGGCTGTGCGTTTTATTTTCAGACCTCTCCCCTTGGCAGGTGTTTCATAAATATTTATGAGCTTGCAGCCGCTGTTAAAATAACATTTATATTTTTGGCAGAGGGAGTTAGTTTAACGATTGTCCAAAAATGGGTATAATATATGTTAATGAGTTAGGAGTTAAGAACATATATCACAGCACTCGAGACATTCCCATTAGTGCTCCTTCTTCATCTTCAGCAGCCAGCGAAGACTTACAGTGCCGATGGTACTAGCTGTGTAATATAGGTAGAAATTAAGAAACGTATGGTGACTTGTTTATTACCTAATGGGTTAAGTATTAATATTTCTTGTGTGTCTAGACTTTCGCACCTTAAACGGAAGATAGGTATGGCAGAATGGTATAATAAAACTTATAATAGAACTTTCAGTTGGCCTGGGATGTTGCCCGATATTCTCAATACCCGTAAACAGGAAAAGTACACTTAATTTCCACATCCCGTCTCCCTTCAGCTCACATCTGACTGGTTCCATATCGGTGGCCGAGAAATTTCGTTAGCCACAAACGCGTTGTTTTGCAGTTGTGCGCCTTAATAGTCTGCTCAGTGGCTAAGTCGATGTGAATGCTTCGTAATGCCGGGATGCCGGGTTCAGAGTCCAGCTGCGGGCCATGCGCCTTGCGTTGGTTTCGACAGTGGTATCAAGAAAGCCGACCGTCCAGAAGCAATGGCAAACTACTAGACGTAAATTGCCTAGAAAAACCACACAACAGCCAGGGGCTGTTGGGGTTGGTTCTGCAACGTCCTCTATAGGATACGCATCTACGCGCCTTAATAAGTTGTACAGTTTTACAAGTAGGAAGCCAAGTCACGCTTCTCAGGGCATTTCTGCTTATCGTTCTTTTCACCTCCTTCTTTTACCTTATCGAAGTGTTGGGGGAGATGTCAGATCTTCTCTGTGCTCTTTGTCTATTTATTTATCCCCGTGAGGGTTCCGTGGCCCTCCTGGGGGAGGGTTGGGAGGGTGGGGGGGGGGGCCTAAAATTAAACCCACTGCCTCCCCAACAAGCGTGTCGAATAAGTCGACGCATTGGGGGCATCCTTCGAAGGCTTGACATTCTTAGAAGCGAAGCAGCAAGACGCTTCCTTGCCGACCCTAAGCTCTTGGGGTCAAAACCGCAATGAGTCATGTATTTTTAAAAACGCGTCCTTGGATCCTAGGTCACCCCACCCTTAACTCGATAGAAGATATTGTTTTCGGATGTCAAGGTGCCTAGTCTGTTGTGTTTACAGTATCTCGCATAAAGTGCCGATCGGTATATAAAAACATTTAAGTCTAACACTCATTTTCCCGAGTCGCCAAAAGCGTGTATTTTACTCCCCCCCCCCCCCCCCCCCGGAACTTTTTTTAAAAACTGAAGAAAAGCAAATTAAAGATCCCTTTTCCTTTGACGCAACGGGCATATGGGAAGAGCACGCCACATTTTTACAGATCAATCGGCACTAGGTGGATAATGGGGTTAGCATTACGCCGCCTATCTTTACTTTCCCAGGACATTCATCCTGGTACCCAGTTTAGGCTGGGTCGACCTACGACGCCCTATACCATGATAAAAAACCACACAGCCCCAGTGGGTTTCGATCGCGGTACGTTGGAATTAGGAGTCGGACGTGCAACGCCTAAGCCACGAACGCAGCTTTTTTTTTTTTTTTTAAACTAAACATCATCAATTGCTTGTTAATATATATCACGGCTGGCATTCGATTTCGTTCAGTCTTGTGCAATTCGGTCTCGTATGTTTGGCATCTTTCAGCAACATTTGTCATAACGTCTAGCTTGGGTGTTCTCGCTTCCAAAACCCGCTAATTTCCGATTTCTGTGCTCGTTCTGTTTCTTTGTTCACCTTTAGATATTTTCTCCAGATAGTGCCGGTGTGATGGGAAACCAGAAGGCAGATAGACTGGCCGGTCCTGCACCACTTGGTGGTGAATTGATGTATGACAAGCTAGATGTTATGAAGGCCCGTTGGGATCGAATGAACAGTGCGGAGGCACAAATACGTCATTACGGTCTGAGGCGAACGGCGCTTCGAGAAGTTACCACGGGATCTGACTGATGCTCAAGACTCAAGGGAAAGGCTAGACGGAAAAACTATCAGACTGTTACTGGTGCTATCGAAACTGGAACTCTTCTCCTGCTGCTGAAGAAGGTGACCTAGCGCTTATGGGAGTGTTCAAAATGAGATGATGTCGATTCTTAATTCAGCATTTAACATTGCCTTATTATATGCCTGTAGTATCTTCTCTTTATTATAACTCTTGATAGGAAACCTTCATTTAGCGTTAACTAACACGGTTAATTCATTGTAACTTATTGCGTTCCACTGGTTATGGGTTTTTGCCTGATAACGACAAGGATACGCGTCATTCCCACTCAGTTTCTGCCTGCCTTTAGCCGAATAGTTCCATGTCAGTGCGCTACAAATGACGTTAGATACACCTGCGTTGTGCTGTACCCGTGCGCCTGAATAAATTGTTTATTCATTGTTAGAGGTACGGGGTCAAATCTATCTTATCTGTGTCTTACCTTACCCCCCCCCCCCCCTTTTTTTTTTGTTCTACCCCCAACACACATGCACCTTCCCCCTTTTTTTCTCCTAATACTTTCCACTTCCTTAACGTTTACAAATAGTTGTGGATTCAAGTTGTATGACATACCTGGCTTACGATGACACACTTTTTTTTTACAGTGGGGGAATGGACCTGAGGTGGGGGCGGTGGGGGGGGGGGGGGTTAATGGTCATGAGGATGAGTATAGTTGTTTCTACAGCGAGGCAAAGTTATGATTTGGAGGTGACAGGTTCGATTCCCGGCAGAGTAACTATTGCTTTCGATTTTCTTGTTGTCTAGTGCAGTGTTTCCCGGCCTTCTTACAATCGCGGCCCACAAAAACAGACAAATCTGTTTCGCGGCCCACGAAAACAGGGGAATTTGTTTCGCGGCCCACCAAAATAGGGACATTTGTTTCGCGGCCCACCAAAATAGGGACATTTATTTCGCGGCCCACCAAAACAGGGGAATTTGTTTCGCGGCCTACCAAAATAGGGGAATTTGTTTCGCGGCCCACCAGAACACAGGAAATTATTTCGCGTTTCTTCTTCTTCTTCTTCTTCTTCTTCTTCTTCTTCTTCTTCTTCTTCTTCTTCTTCTTCTTCTTCTTCTTCTTCTTCTTCTTCTTCTTCTTCTTCTTCTTCTTCTTCTTCTTCTTCTTCTTCTTCTTCTTCTTCTTCTTCTTCTTCTTCTTCTTCTTCTTCTTCTTCTTCTTCTTCTTCTTCTTCTTCTTCTTCTTCTTCTTCTTCTTCTTCTTCTTCTTCTTCTTCTTCTTCTTCTTCTTCTTCTTCTTCTTCTTCTTCTTCTTCTTCTTCTTCTTCTTCTTTCTTCTTCTTCTTCTTCTTCTTCTTCCTTCTTCTTCTTCTTCTTCTTCTCTTCTTCTTTCTTCTTCTTCTTCTTCTTTCTTCTTCTTCTTCTTCTTCTTCTTCTTCTCTTCTTCTTCTTCTTCTTCTTCTTCTTCTTCTTCTTCTTCTTCTTCTTCTTCTTTTCTTTCTTCTTCTTCTTCTTCTTCTTCTTCTTCTTCTTCTTCTTCTTCTTCTTCTTCTTCTTCTTCTTCTTCTTCTTCTTCTTCTTCTTTCTTCTCTTCTTCTTCTTCTTCTTCTTCTTCTTCTTCTTCTTCTTCTTCTTCTTCTTTCTTCTTTCTTCTTCTTCTTCTTCTCTTTCTTCTTCTTCTTCTTCTTCTTCTTCTTCTTCTTCTTCTTCTTCTTCTTCTTCTTTCTTCTTCTTCTTCTTCTTCTTTCTTCTTTCTTCTTCTTCTTCTTCTTCTTCTTCTTCTTCTTCTTCTCTTCTTCTTCTTCTTCTTCTTCTTCTTCTTCTTCTTCTTCTTCTTCTTCTTCTTCTTCTTCTTCTTCTTCTTCTTCTTTCTTCTTCTTCTCTTCTTCTTCTTCTTCTTCTTCTTCTTCTTCTTCTTCTTCTTCTTCTTCTTCTTCTTCTTCTTCTTCGTTTCTTCTTCTTCTTCTTCTCTTCTTCTTCTTCTTCTTCTTCTTCTTCTTCTTCTTCTTCTTCTTCTTCTTCTTCTTCTTCTTCTTCTTCTTCTTCTTCTTCTTCTTCTTCTTCTTCTTCTCTTCTTCTTCTTCTTCTTCTTCTTCTTTCTTCTTCTTCTTCTTCTTCTTCTTCTTCTTCTTCTTCTTCTTCTTCTTCTTCTTCTTCTTCTTCTTCTTCTTCTTCTTCTCTTCTTCTTCTTCTTCTTCTTCTTTCTTCTTCTTCTTCTTCTTCTTCTTCTTCTTCTTCTTCTTCTTCTTCTTCTTCTTCTTCTTCTTCTTCTTCTTCTTCTTCTTCTTCTTCTTCTTCTTCTTCTTCTTCTTCTTCTTCTTCTTCTTCGTCTTCTTCTTCTTCGTCTTCTTCTTCTTCGTCTTCTTCTTCGTCTTCTTCTTCTTCTTCTTCTTCTTCTTCTTCTTCTTCTTCTTCTTCTTCTTCTTCTTCTTCTTCTTCTTCTTCTTCTTCTTCTTCTTCTTCTTCTTCTTTCCAATATTCTTCACCAAATGTAAACTCCGGCAGTAAGTCCTGTTATTTGTCCACCTCTGGATTTTGGTCATGTTCCAAACCTCGAGTGTTGCGTGCAAATCCATTTTACAGATCTGGACTGTTTATTTGCAACCTGCTTGTTTTCGGCCTCTGAGATAGCTGCCTTCTGACTTGGAAAGAAAAGTAGATCATATTTACATTTGTAGGGCTGCCGGTTGGGCGCCTGTTTCTTGGATTAGAGGTCTAGAAAGGGCTTGCTAAGCATGTGCTCTGAAACCTGGAGCACCACTGCCTGTGGTTCAGCACCTCTGCGACCCATGTCTACACTGATATGTTTTATTCGTTGTACTCGAATCTCTCCTCCCCCCCCCCACCCCATACATTGGCTGTATGAGTGTGTGTTATAGGAGCCGCCGTAATGAGCGGCTAGACTCTCGCCTGCAGATCTGAAGGTCCTGGGTTCAGCTCCGGATGTAGCAGTTTTTTTTTTCAAAATGACCCTGACTCTCAGGATTAACCAGGTCTAATTGTGTCCCAGGTGAAGTCCTGGGAATTTATGGTGGCCAGTGTGATGTTGACCACATCACACCCACCGTTTGCCGATTGGTCCACGAAATATAGGTCTAGCCCTATATGCCCAATACGCCGGAAACCAGGGCCTTGTGTGCGCTATACAATATTGATACCAGCTTGTGATATATGTTGTGTTTCTGCTTGCAGCCTCCTACACCGGTAGTTCTTCAGACGAAGATGATGTTTCACCACGTGAGAAGAGCCAGGTGAGTCATCTCTTTCGACTAATGACAGAGCAAGGTTTGAACATGTGTTTTCTAAAGGCAGTCTTTCTGTATTGCGGCCACAGCATAACACTGTCTCTGTTATAGCAAAGAAACATCTCTTGCAGATCATATCCACCCATCTTGTGCTTCCAGTGCCAGACATGGTCACTCAAAATAAACCAGAAAATGTTTATAGAAACCATGGGAATGATGTCTGAGTGGTGCAGCAGGAGTGGCCAGAAGAGATACTATCAGGAGGGAAGTCATAAGAGAAAACGTCGGCACAGAAACAAGTGCTAAATTGAATACAGCAAATGACAGCAAATTCCGGAAGGTGGTTATCCTCCTTAGAATGCTATACAACATCAGAAAACAAGACTTAGAGAGAATGCTATACAACATCACAAAACAACACTTAGAGAGAATGCTAAACAACGTCACAAAACAACACTTAGAGAGAATGCTATACAACATCACCAAATAACACTTACAGAGAATGCTATACAACATCACCAAACAAGACTTAGGGAGAATGCTATACAACCTCACCAAACAACACTTAGAGAGAATGCTATACAACATCACCAACACTTAGAGAGAATGCTATACAACATCACCAAAACTTAGAGAGAATGCTATACAACATCACCAAACAACACTTAGAGAGAATGCTATTCAACATCACCAACACTTAGAGAGAATGCTATACAACATCACCAAAACTTAGAGAGAATGCTATACAACATCACCAAACAACACTTAGAGAGAAGGCTGTTCAACATCACCCATTGAACGCCGATTGGTCTAAAAAATATACGTCTAGCCCTGTATGCTAAGGAAACGAGAACGACTAAAGAAATTATTGCAGAAAGGAGGAGAGTTTAGCGACTGAGAAGAAACACATTAAACACAAATGTCGACAACAGTGGTCTTGAAATTCCATGCTATAATTCTGGAAGACTTTTCCTAACGCCTGCGGGTCTTGCTAGTCACACTCGCCATCGGCATGGGCTGTGAGTCCCATACCTCCTCATAGCACAGTATAACACTTTTGTCTGAAAAGTTTGAAAGGTGTCAGTCGAGCAATGTAGGCACAGTATGCTTGAAGGCGTGGACACGAATCCTTGATTTGACTTCTCAACTGTGCAAAGCAGGTGTTGCAGTTTTATTAAAGAAAGGCAGACGCTAAAGATACATTAACAACACATTAAATATGAGCAATGCTGAATGTTATTTTAGCAAATGCTGTATCATAATTGTATGCATTAGTTATTTAGAACGTAAAACTTACCAATATGTCAGAGACAAAATACACAGATTGCAAGAGTGAACTCTGTGCACTTTGCTTGCCCCGCATAGGTAATGTTTCTGTCTAATATACAGATTCTCAACCAGTGGGTTGTGACTTCATTTGGGATCTCCAAGTTTGTTTTTTTTCGGTGGGGGGGGGGGGGGGGGGGGGGGGGGGGGCGGGGGGGGGGGGGGGGGGGGGAGGGGGGAGAATGTGTGGTGGGTTCCCGGACAGCGATGAGCTTTGTTTGACAGATTTTAGAATGAAGAACAAAAACTACATTATTTCATCAATCAAAGGAAATCTGTTTTCCATGTGTTCTCATTCACCCTATTTTTAATGTATGGGGTCGCAGGTCACTGAGCTGAGTTGAATCGATTCAAGAGCCGACATCACACACACACACACACGGGGCATTCCCATAAGCGCTCCGTCCCCATCTTCAGCAGCCAGTGCAGAGTTCTAATACCAGTGGCGTCAATAGCAGTCCGAATAAAACGTTAAAGATCCCTTTGTCTCAATAAAATGGGGTTGCGACTCAAACGGGTTTTGGAACCGCCGGTCTCAATTCCTGACGTTCATGGTCTCACTGTAAACATCGCTACGCGTGTGCTTCCTGGCTGTGGGTTTGTTTATTTTGGCAGTATATCTGTGGAAGGAGGGATAAAGGAAGACAACAAAGATTCTTGAAAGTCTGGTTGCATGACATGGAGGTGTGTCGGCAATCACCTCCGGCAGGAGATCGCAGATTGTGGAGAGGCATGATCGCCCACGCCAGTCGGCAAGGCACCTGGTGATGATGATGATGATGATGATGATGGTTGCCAGCATAGAAATTTCCAAGCTATATCACGTCAGGTATGCAAGTATATCTAGTGTATAGCTGCATATCCATTTATAGGAGACTGGTTAGTTTGTTGGTTGCTTGGTTAGTGGGCTGCCTGAATGGGCTGGATCCCAGACATGATATAGAAAGATTACACGAGATGGAACGAAATGGAAGAATAAACTGCGAGCTCTGTGTGACTTGTAACGGCTGAACAGGATGATGATGACGACTACAAAACTGAACGACATGCAACCGGTTGTTTTAACCAGTCCTTAAAAAAACGAATAAAGCTATCATATCCGTGAGCAGGAAAGTTACCAAACCAAAGACACAGGGTGGACGTGCATACACTGGTCTGGTAGTCTAGTAGTCTTAGTTAGTTTCAGCTTCATAGCAAACGGGTCACCCCATCGTTGCTCCGCTCCTGTGCCAACGAAAAACACACAGAATGTTTATCACAGTCCCTTGTGGAAAGATTGACAGACTGCTGTCTCAGCATATCTAGCATACACTCGCATTAAAGCATACGGTAGCCATCTGAAGTGCTAACACAAACACTCCGACATTAGAAATGCAGTTTATCATTGATGGTAGCAGAAGTTAGCAACAGATCAGCAGTTGCCCACTCGATCAATTTTAATCACATACGGACACCACCAACATTGCACGACAGGCATCGCGCCATTTTCTGAATCTGCAATTCACACCACCACGTTGGTCACAGTCGAAAAAACATTCACACACACACGCGCGCGCGCGCGTACACACACACACACACACACACACACACACACACACCCACAGGGTGGTGGGAGAAAAGGGGGGGGGGGCAAGAAATAATAACACAGGGAAACTAAAAACACTGGAAAACAAACCACACGTCCGAATATATAACCGAACCAAAGTCTTTACGCACAAATACAACAGCAGAAATCATAACGTACAATGACGAACGAGAATTTGCCAGCATAGGGGAAGCAATAGAACAGACATTTTGAAGGGGAAAAAAATAGGAATAGGACTTTGACTAGGAAGGTAGGTAGATTATTGTTCCCCTTTAGGAATGTTGCCCGTAGGATTACCACTCCAAGGATGACAATCAAACACAAGCAAATCCCAGATCGTTCGTTCTACTCTACTGTATATTACAGTTATATTAAAGCGCCCTATAGGTGCTCGCCGACGTAAAGAAGCAGTCCAATGTGGAGGTAGAAAGTATTTTTAGAGGCGATAATACCAGCGCATATCATTCGTTATACAGTCCTGCATATCGGTAATTAATAGCAGGATTATCGAACGCTGGCATTTAGATGGCCACAAGCAAACAAACGAATACTATAAAATAATTGTCCAGAATTTATGGCTGGCGAGCCAAACGCCGTGCGACGAAAGCAGTGATTGGTTTTTGGCGTTAGAGATTAAGACCGCATGGTCGAAGAGGTCGTGTTTTGACATATGGTTTCTATTGTATCCCCTTTGTCAGTGTTAAGTGGTCATGAAAGAGGATTAGCTTCTTATCGTTTCCCATTCTGGGCGTTGCGGTATCTCGGAGGTGTGAAAATCTCTCATTGTGTCCACTTCTCGGAGCTAGGGATTTTGAAAGAGTTGGTTTCTGGTTGTTTCCCCTTCTTGTGTATGAATGGTCTTGGACATATGATTGTTTCTTAGAAAATCCACATCAAACGTGTTACCCCATAGTTGCCTCAACGAAGACCACACAGAATGTCTAACACTACCCATTCTTTAAAAGAAATGGAACAGTGGTCAGTCTTAGAAAATTCAACCCTGGGAAAGTAAAGACAGCCGGCGTAATGCTGACCACATTACCCACCGAGTGCTGATGGTCTGTAAAAATATTGGCGCTCTGCCCAAATGCCCGATACGCCTAAAGGCGTGGAAAGGAATCTTTACTTTTTTTTTTACTTACAGTATACCCACTTGAGGTCCCTGTCTCTTGCTCAGTGCGACTATCGTATCTTGGTCCGAAACCCACGAGAGTGATGTTTTCAAATCGAACCCTAGTACTTCAGGATCATGCACTTGTTTAACGCATCCACTAACCTCTAAGCCACAAAGCCCCAGACATTCAGTTTATCAAGCTGTTATGAGCTATTATTTCTGTTTGCAGATGTTAGCTTTTGTTGTTGCAATAGATGCGATCACATAGAGCAGGTTGTGTCATGCCATGCAGGCCTTAAACTACTCTTGCTAGACTGTCATTTGGACAGTCCCCTGCATGCGCAGTCCTCCCATGCAGCAGCCACTTAAATATACCTCTGCTGATTTAGATGTTAGATGTCCCATGGACTTTTCGTTGCACAAGCCATCAGATGTACAAAATAGAGCCAAGTGATAATACCATTCTGTGATTTACTTATCTCAATTGAATGATCCCAATGATTAGATGTATGAATAGTTTAAGCTTCCTTCTTCCTTCCATTGTTCTATCCTGACTTGTGCCTGATGGTTAGGCACCCTGAGATATACAATTCTCAACAGGATAAATCTACGCCTTAGAACAGGACATAATCGACTTCGCAGCCACATAAACACAACATTGAAGATTGGCGAATCTGCCATGTGTGCATGTGGATTGGCACCTGAGACAACAGATCGCGTCCTCTAAGACTGTCCCAAATAAAACATATCAAGGCAAAACTTTTGGCCAAGAGAAACATCGGTGCAAGTCAAACTTTACGGCTCGCTGAGTGAATTACAACCGGCAGTGAAGTTCATACTAGAAACAACATTGCAGATATAGATAATCTATTTCAAGCGAACGAAGCAGTCGCAGATATCCCATTCGACTCCAAAATAAGTTACAGTTAGGTCGGCCGTAACGACTACCCGGATCAGAACATGGCTAGTTAAACTCTATTCCTTTTCTCTAGTTCTGCGAAAGCTAATCTGGGCTGTTGGGTTTATTTCACGTGTTGAGAATTAAATGCGGTTTATGGATATCTGCGGTAATAAATGTCAACAAGTTTCAGTTAAAGAATTCAAGCAACAAGTCCTGAGTAACAATGAAAACCAGCATTACTGTAACAATGGCGAAGAGCCACTTCATGGGAACTGTCAATGCGACAGACAGCATGCATAATTAATTTCTCAGCAGAATTTAAGAGTGCATTGGTATACGTTTATCCATATCGACTTCTTCATACCGCCCCTCTCTTACCTCAGTGAAGTGCAGGGGGTGTTGGATGGAAAGGATGAGTGAGGGGGGGGGGTGTTGGAGTATCTTCTATATGCTCTTGTTAATGTGTTGTATAAGTTGGCAATCATTTCTTTAAGGCTGCTCTTGATACTGCTGTCGTTACATCCATTGGGTGGCTTTTCCCTTGCTCTGTACATATAGATCTGTGTTGAGGGGCAGAAACAAACATGCACGAGGGTTCAGTGCAAAAGCTAATGGTTGTCGCTTAGTAAAGCAAAGCGAAATGTTTTATACCAAATCTTGTTTGAGAATGATTGGAGGTGGAGGCAGTCACAGCAGCTTTTCGTTGATCTGACAGCCAGCTCACACACATTTCTTTTTTTGTAACATGCTTATAAAGCATGCTGAGAAAGGTGGAGAAGTTCAGAATGGCAAGCATCACCTCAGAAATCGTCGCTAGTTAGCCTTCTGCTGATATTTTATCTAAATATGTAGGTGTGTTGGAAAAAGAAAAAGCAAACCGACTGGCTGGTGCTGCACCACTTGGGGGGTGACTTGATGCTAGACCTGGTCAAGGTATTTTGGGAGCAAGTGAACAATGCGAAATCGCGAATAGATCGTTACGGCTTGGAGAGACTGGTGCTGCGAGGAGTTACTAGAGCACCTAGCCGGCACTCTACACCCAGATGAAAGGCAAGACGGACATATCTAAAATGGATACTGTTATCATCAGAGTGTAAACTCTTCCCCAGCACCTCACTATGACGACGGATCATGTATAGAAATGTCCCAGTGTAGTAATGTTGCTTCTTGACTCAGTTAAACTCAGCTTAACCCCTTGCTCTGTACTCTTTAAATTTCTTTAGCGTGGCTTTCTGTGGCAGTTGGTACGAGAGCATTCTAGACATATAACCAGACTATCTCACCTGCTGCTCTTTAAATAATTGTGTTATTGTTTTCAGTTTTAGGCTTTTCCGATGTCCGCATTTTTCATGTTATCTCTTTTTTTATTTATCCGGCAACCCTTCAGTGACATCTGATCTCTGTTGTCACGATTCTATCCTCATTAGTTATAGTGTCTCTTTTTGACAGTGGTAGCATGAAGTGTCTCCCATACATATCAGAGTTGACTTGGTAGACAAAGGTGTTCGTCTATGTATCAGAGTTCGTGTTAGTATATATCATGTTTGTTTAAATATAGACACATATGAACTCAAATTTATATATTTTGCTTACTTACTTAGTCGCTCCTCTTCTACCCTGGGGTGTAGAGGTTTGCCAGAGAGATCGTCAGACGTCTCTATCAGCGGTTTTCTTTCTGGATTTATTCCATTCAAGTCCTTTGTCAGGGACAGTCGGATGTTGTCTTCCCAGCGGACCCTGCGTCGCCCTAGAGATTTAAATATCCGGCTTCGCCCGAGATAGTAAATGAACATATTATTATCCCACCCTCTGCCATTTCTTTGTATACACCGCTGCCTTATGTACATTCACTGCCCTAACTCAACCTGAGGCTTCTACTGCACCTCCTCCCTTTAATGGCCATTTCAATCTCCCCCCCCCCCCCCCCACCTCTGTACCCTATGTAACTTTAGAGGCTACAGTCCGTTTGATTTCCCCAGTGCCTCCAAGGAGTGGTAGCCCCAATTTTGTGAAATACCGTAGTCAAGAGGCTACATCCCTTTTTATCTCCTCAGTGCCTCCAAGGAGTGGTAGCGCCAACTTTGGGAAATACCGTAGTTAATTAATGGATATACCTCCAGTGATTGTTAATTTTTAGTGATTGTAGGGTTCATTATCAGGTATACATAAAACGGTGTTGTCAATAGTAGAGTTGACCTAAACACTGCGGCTAGAATGACATCTGCAAATTTCACTCCTCTACTGGTCACCGTTTAGGATGAGTTTTTGTGACAGAAATATAAACACACAGACAGAGATAGATAGTATAGATGTAATATAATGTATCCACAGAGAAACTCAAAGGGCTTCGGTGATTTTTGTGTCAAGAACATCGACCATTCGGCATTTGGCAGACGAGAGGTTGAGATTGCTGAACAAGGTGTGTTGTGACTTGCTTGTTGTCAGTGGTCTCAAAATGTAGTTTTTGTTTTAGATGGCTCTGATTGTAAATGATGTCAGCAGCAGAAACTATTAACATACCTCTAATTGTTTGCATTTAAATAACCAATCTAACTGTTGTCACATAAACTTTTAACAACCTAGATGTCCTCATATTACCATACATCCTGTTGTCCTCATGAAAAAAAAAAAAAAAACTATTAGCCACTCCGAGTTTTTTCATATAAACTGTTAACAGCCCTGTTTGTCCTCACACCAACTATTTATAGCTCTAATTGTTGTACATGAGCTTTTGCAAAACGGCTCTAGTAGTTGTCACGCAAACTTTTAAAAACATCTCTTGTTGTGCATATACTTCAACATAGAACTGTAGTAGTTGTCACACAAACTATTAAAACATCTCTTGTTGTACATAAACTTAAACAAACAGCTCTATTAGTTGTCACACAAACTATTAAAAAACCTCTTCTTGTACATAAACTTAAACAAACAGCTCTAGTAGTTGTCACACAAACTATTAAAAAAAAGAACTTTTGTTGTACATAAACTTAAATAAACAGCTCTAGTAGTGGTCACACAAACTATTAAAAACATCTCTTGTTGTACATAAACTTAAACAACTCTTGTAGTTGTCACACAAACTATTAAAAAACATCTCCTGTTGTACATAAACTTAAACAAACAGCTCTAGTAGTTGTCACACCAACTATTAAAAACATCTAGTGTTAAACATAAACTTAAACAAACAGCTATAGTAGTTGTCACTCCAACTATTAGAAACATCTCCTGTTGTACATAAACTTAAACAAACAGCTATAGTAGTTGTCACTCCAACTAGTAAAAGAACGTTGGATGTCAGGTGACAATCCCCATGAGTGTCCGGTCTCGGGTTCGAGCCGGGGGATGGCAGAAGAGCCGCATACTGCCCGGTTGTTAACACTCTACGTGGCACCAAGGCTGAAGGGCTTCGATGCTCAGGACACTGAGCCAGATGAACTATGCTTAAGTGCTTCTGGTTCAGAACACACACAAAAACTATCAATAAACAGCTCTGATTGTTGCACATAATTTGTTAACCAACAGCGCTAATTATTGTCAAATATTTTATTACCAAACAGCTTTAATTGTTGGCACATAAACCAGTAACAGCTCTAATTGTTGGTACATAAGCCAGTAACAGCTCTAATTGTTGGTACATAAACCAGTAACAGCTCTAATTGTTGGTACATAAACCAGTAACAGCTCTAATTGTTGGCACATAAGCCAGTAACAGCTCTAATTGTTGGTACATAAGCCAGTAACAGCTCTAATTGTTGGTACATAAGCCAGTAACAGCTCTAATTGTTGGCACATAAACCAGTAACAGCTCTAATTGTTGGCACATAAACCAGTAACAGCTCTAATTGTTGGCACATAAGCCAGTAACAGCTCTAATTGTTGGTACATAAGCCAGTAACAGCTCTAATTGTTGGCACATAAGCCAGTAACAGCTCTAATTGTTGGTACATAAGCCAGTAACAGCTCTAATTGTTTGTACATAAACCAGTAACAGCTCTAATTGTTGGCACATAAACCAGTAACAGCTCTAATTGTTGGCACATAAGCCAGTAACAGCTCTAATTGTTGGCACATAAACCAGTAACAGCTCTTATTGTTTGTACATAAGCCAGTAACAGCTCTAATTGTTTGTACATAAACCAGTAACAGCTCTAATTGTTTGTACATAAGCCAGTAACAGCTCTAATTGTTGGTACATAAGCCAGTAACAGCTCTAATTGTTGGTACATAAGCCAGTAACAGCTCTAATTGTTGGTACATAAGCCAGTAACAGCTCTAATTGTTGGTACATAAACCAGTAACAGCTCTAATTGTTGGTACATAAGCCAGTAACAGCTCTAATTGTTGGCACATAAACCAGTAACAGCTCTAATTGTTGGTACATAAGCCAGTAACAGCTCTAATTGTTGGTACATAAACCAGTAACAGCTCTAATTTTTGGTACATAAACCAGTAACAGCTCTAATTGTTGGTACATAAGCCAGTAACAGCTCTAATTGTTGGTACATAAGCCAGTAACAGCTCTAATTGTTGGTACATAAACCAGTAACAGCTCTAATTGTTGGTACATAAGCCAGTAACAGCTCTAATTGTTGGTACATAAACCAGTAACAGCTCTAATTGTTTGTACATAAACCAGTAACAGCTCTAATTGTTTGTACATAAACCAGTAACAGCTCTAATTGTTGGTACATAAACCAGTAACAGCTCTAATTGTTGGTACATAAACCAGTAACAGCTCTAATTGTTGGTACATAAGCCAGTAACAGCTCTAATTGTTGGTACATAAACCAGTAACAGCTCTAATTGTTGGTACATAAACCAGTAACAGCTCTAATTGTTGGTACATAAGCCAGTAACAGCTCTAATTGTTGGTACATAAACCAGTAACAGCTCTAATTGTTGGTACATAAACCAGTAACAGCTCTAATTGTTGGTACATAAACCAGTAACAGCTCTAATTGTTGGTACATAAGCCAGTAACAGCTCTAATTGTTGGTACATAAACCAGTAACAGCTCTAATTGTTGGTACATAAGCCAGTAACAGCTCTAATTGTTTGTACATAAACCAGTAACAGCTCTAATTGTTTGTACATAAACCAGTAACAGCTCTAATTGTTGGTACATAAACCAGTAACAGCTCTAATTGTTTGTACATAAACCAGTAACAGCTCTAATTGTTTGTACATAAACCAGTAACAGCTCTAATTGTTTGTACATAAGCCAGTAACAGCTCTAATTGTTGGTACATAAACCAGTAACAGCTCTAATTGTTGGTACATAAACCAGTAACAGCTCTAATTGTTGGTACATAAGCCAGTAACAGCTCTAATTGTTTGTACATAAACCAGTAACAGCTCTAATTGTTGGCACATAAACCAGTAACAGCTCTTATTGTTTGTACATAAACCAGTAACAGCTCTAATTGTTGGTACATAAGCCAGTAACAGCTCTAATTGTTTGTACATAAGCCAGTAACAGCTCTAATTGTTGGTACATAAGCCAGTAACAGCTCTAATTGTTGGTACATAAGCCAGTAACAGCTCTAATTGTTGGTACATAAGCCAGTAACAGCTCTAATTGTTGGTACATAAGCCAGTAACAGCTCTAATTGTTGGTACATAAGCCAGTAACAGCTCTAATTGTTGGTACATAAGCCAGTAACAGCTCTAATTGTTGGTACATAAGCCAGTAACAGCTCTAATTGTTGGTACATAAGCCAGTAACAGCTCTAATTGTTGGTACATAAGCCAGTAACAGCTCTAATTGTTGGTACATAAGCCAGTAACAGCTCTAATTGTTTGTACATAAGCCAGTAACAGCTCTAATTGTTGGTACATAAACTAGTAACAGCTCTAATTGTTGGTACATAAACCAGTAACAGCTCTAATTGTTGGCACATAAACCAGTAACAGCTCTAATTGTTGGTACATAAGCCAGTAACAGCTCTAATTGTTGGTACATAAACCAGTAACAGCTCTAATTGTTGGTACATAAACCAGTAACAGCTCTAATTGTTGGTACATAAACCAGTAACAGCTCTAATTGTTGGTACATAAACCAGTAACAGCTCTAATTGTTTGTACATAAACCAGTAACAGCTCTAATTGTTGGTACATAAACCAGTAACAGCTCTAATTGTTTGTACATAAACCAGTAACAGCTCTAATTGTTGGTACATAAACCAGTAACAGCTCTAATTGTTTGTACATAAACCAGTAACAGCTCTAATTGTTGGTACATAAACCAGTAACAGCTCTAATTGTTTGTACATAAACCAGTAACAGCTCTAATTGTTTGTACATAAACCAGTAACAGCTCTAATTGTTTGTACATAAACCAGTAACAGCTCTAATTGTTGGTACATAAACCAGTAACAGCTCTAATTGTTTGTACATAAACCAGTAAACAGCTCTAATTGTTTGGTACATAAACCAGTAACAGCTCTAATTGTTTGTACATAAACCAGTAACAGCTCTAATTGTTGGTACATAAACCAGTAACAGCTCTAATTGTTGGTACATAAACCAGTAACAGCTCTAATTGTTGGTACATAAACCAGTAACAGCTCTAATTGTTGGCACATAAACCAGTAACAGCTCTAATTGTTGGTACATAAGCCAGTAACAGCTCTAATTGTTTGTACATAAACCAGTAACAGCTCTAATTGTTTGTACATAAACGAGTAACAGCTCTAATTGTTGGTACATAAGCCAGTAACAGCTCTAATTGTTTGTACATAAACCAGTAACAGCTCTAATTGTTGGTACATAAGCCAGTAACAGCTCTAATTGTTGGTACATAAACCAGTAACAGCTCTAATTGTTTGTACATAAACCAGTAACAGCTCTAATTGTTGGTACATAAGCCAGTAACAGCTCTAATTGTTGGTACATAAGCCAGTAACAGCTCTAATTGTTTGTACATAAACCAGTAACAGCTCTAATTGTTTGTACATAAACCAGTAACAGCTCTAATTGTTGGTACATAAGCCAGTAACAGCTCTAATTGTTGGTACATAAGCCAGTAACAGCTCTAATTGTTTGTACATAAACCAGTAACAGCTCTAATTGTTTGTACATAAACCAGTAACAGCTCTAATTGTTTGTACATAAACCAGTAACAGCTCTTATTGTTGGTACATAAACCAGTAACAGCTCTAATTGTCCACATGCAAACTCTTCCACAATGTAACTGGCTGTTAAAAAAAAACCCATTAAGGGCAATGAACCAACTTAATCCTTGATGACATTTCGTATCTCATTTAGTCTTATCACGTACAGTATTCTCATAGGGCTTTTCACCGTGTCACTGTTATTATTATTCTTGTGACTCTGACTGTCATTGTTAAGTTGTGGTATTTGTAGTATAATGTTAGTAGGTGGATATTCTTCAGATAATTGCAGTTCCAACGTCATAGCAAACGCTTCCCGTCCTCTCACGCCCCCCACCCCCTCCTTTTTTTTTTCATTTGTTCCGTTCCTATGCCAGAAAAAAATAAAAAAGTAGAATGTCCCTCACTGCCCCTGTGGAAAAACGGATACATACTGCAGTCTCAGCAAATTCAGTTGCACACACACACGCAATAAATGCAGCTGTCAGAAGTGCCAACACAAACAGTCCTACACTGGAAAGCAGCCGTTTCAACACGCGATTAATCGCATAAAGCACTAGCAGCTCTGTTGCAACCAGTCGTTCACCAGTTTCTGAATTTACAGTTTACAACAACAATAAAAATACTTTGGGCACTGTCAAACATCATTATAAATGAAATCCACAGCTCACAGTGTGGCGCCACGCACTCAACTCAGATAGGCGACAGGACTGTATACTTTCAGTCTATATATGGAGGAAAATGCAGCAACTATCTATTGTCAGAAGCAAAACTTGCCACGACTAAAAGCAGTGAACAAGCCTATCTGCCATATTGACCGAAGCAGCTGTAACAGATATTCTTTAACAATTCTTTGCCCGTGGCTGATTCTTGGAAAATGTAGTTTCCCCCTTTTTGTTGAAAACACTAGATCAAAGTTTCCATTTAGTGATCTGCGTACCTCTTGGATCCAGCAATTGAAAGTAAACGGTTCCCTAACATCATTCACGAAAAGCCTTCTACTTTAGAATGCACTCCTTTCTTGCTAGTCTAATACGAATGCACTCTGCACTCAGCACTCTTCTTTGCGGCAGTGAAACCAGGAGAAACGGCTAGATAGCTTTCACATGCGATGCGTAAGAAGAATCTTTGACATTAGGTTGCAGGACAAGATCACAAAGGTAGTGGAAAGAGCAGGTATTACCACAGTTTTCTCAATGCTTAGTCTGCAAAGGCTCGGGCAACTGGGTCACACCTGGAGAATGGAGGATGGCAGCGTCTCTAAGGACATCCTCTATGGCGAATTAAAAACAGGTAGAGAATGTCGAAGCCGACCTCTGCTACGATATAAAGATGTGTGGAAGTGGGACATGAATGATACAGGTATTGTGGTGGACTCATGAGAACAAAATACCATGGACCATGTTGTGTGGAGGGGGTATATCAGGAAAGGAATGAGACTGAAGAAAGAAATAATTGCAGAAAGGATGAGAGCTGCTCATCTGAGAAGAAACAGACTAAACACAAATGTTGACAGACAACATCGGGGGCGGGTCTTGCTTGTCACACTCGCCATCGCCATGCGCTGTGAGTCCCATGCCCTCTCACAGCGCAGTATAACACTATCGTCTGGAAAGACGGAAGGTGCCAATCAATCGATACAATTTCGTCGTACCAAGTATCAGGTCCATGGCTGACTTTCTCGAATAAGTGGTGTTCACAGATCTTATCCTCTGGGAACCACTGTACCACATAATATTATTAAACATGCCGAAAAAGACATTAACAAAATAATGAGGGTACCACTGGGAACCACTGAACCACATAGTATTATTAAACATACAAAAGAAGACATAAACAACATAATGAGGGAACCACTGAACCACATAATATTATTAAACATATCAAAAAAGACATTTACAAAAAAATTAAGGACACTTTTCACGCCGTCAGGCGTATTGGGCATATAGACTGAAATTGTATAGAACAATCGGTACTATGTGGGTTATGCGGTGAACATCACGTCTGTTGCCTTTACTTCCCAGGACTCTACCCTTCTAGAAAGAGACATCTGTAAAAGTGCAAGTAAAATCCTTTTCCGCGTCCTCAGGCATATTGGGCATATAGGGCTAGACCTTTATTTTTTAGACCAATCGGCACTTGATGGGCGATATGATCAGTATCATGCCAGCCGCCTTTACTTCCCAGGACTCCACCTGGTACGAGTTCAAAGCTGAATCGACCTGGGAGCCAAGTTTTTTTTTTTAAAGAAAAATGCAAAAAAAACAACAAAAAAAAAATTTAAAAGTCCGGTACCGTTAGGACCCGATCTCACGACCTTTGGATCCACAGATGAGCGTCTTGCTTCTACACCACGCCGGCTCCCAGAAGGAGACATGCTGAGTTGTAAATGACTTCTACTTTTCAGACAGTAGTCTTGATAACTTATATGTACACAAGCCCTGGCTGACCGGAGTCACTACTCGGTGTGCCTGACCCGTTAGTAAACACTCTGTCACATAAGATACGCCGGTGCTTGTAACATAGTCGGGCCCAGAAAGAGAGTGACTTTCCTTGCCATTCATACGTGGTCCCTTCGCAGGTCCTGTCCTTTGTTGCGGGAGGGGAGGGGGTGGGGTCCACGCTTAGTGACCGGCCAGCAACATGACGTGTTGTACGCGTTGTTGTCAACGGCAAGCGACATTGTGTGTTCTGTATTCCACGATATTAGCGCTTTCTAACGGTCCCAACATATACTTGCTTGAACTGACAGGCATCCAAGGCCAGACTGACCTTCATTCACACTATAGAAAAACAGAAAAGTGCTAATAAAACTGACCTTCATTGGCCGATGAATTTCTAAATGTTTCACTCCTTTACTGATCAAATAACGGACAACAGACCGCTGATCCTCTTTGGTGCATCTTAAAAAAAGGGGTGCTATATTTAACCTATCACAATGACGTCACCACATTAGTCGGCACCGCGATACCAAGTGTTTAATATTGCCATTATTAACAATAATTTTGATAGGTTACATAACAGTGACATGGTTTTTGTGATTTATGTCGTCCTTTTAAGTTTTCATTTGAAGCCTCCTTGTATCTTCCTCTCTGATTAGTATAACAGTGAGGCTGTTACCGCCGTTGCTTTTTCAGTGATAACGTTGTTTTTACCTGTTTTACTTGTGATCCCTTAAAACTAATTGTCTCTTTTGTTTGATCTAGAAATGCCTGGACTGGTGGCCCTAAGAAGGAGAGCCGAGGCAGATAAGCCACTCCAGGGCGCCAAAATAATTGGATGCACCCACATCACAGCCCAGACTGCTGTAAGTGTACCCGTGGTTACTCTCATAATAGCATCATTGTCTGTGAATCTGCCGTTTGTTGTTCGTCCACCACGAGTGATGAGGATCACTTTTTCCTTCAACGACCATGAAACTAATTGACTGTGTGTGAATCAATCGATGACCTGTTTACTCCCTGTGTGGGTTTCGGCACTCCATTATGGGGAAAACAAGAATAGACCTGCTGCTTTCTCAAAAGCATGTCGTACGAGTCGACTAATTGGGAGCTTCTTTCTAAGTCGGAGTGCCTCTGGCTGAGAGGCAAGAAACCAACGGTTCTCATAGTCACTCCTGCAGCGCTTCTCGGACATCTCTTTTTTCGTTGTAACCAATGTTTTTTTTTTTTCCTGCTTTTCTTGTGCATCTATTATTCATTACCCTTTTATAAATTACTTAACTACACAATATTCTCGTGTACATTACTTTCTCATGTGTTACTACTTTCTCGTGTGTTACTTCTTGTACATTACTCTCTTGTATAGTAATTTCTTTGTGTTGTTTAGCCTTCTGATGATCAATGTTCCGCTGCCTACCAATTTTTTTTTTTTAATTAAAAGATCCCTTTTTACGCCTTTAGGCGCATCGGGCATGTGGAAAGAGCGCCCATATTTTTACAGACCATCGGCACTAGGTGGGTAATGAGGTCAGCATTACGCCGGCCATCTTTACTTCCCCAGGACATACATCCTGGTACCCATTTTAGGCTGGGTCGACCTGCGACGCCCCATACCATGATAAAAATCCACGCAGCCAGCAGTAAGTTGGAATTACGAGTCGGACTCAGAACGCCTGAGCCACGGACGCGGCGCCTACCTTGAGGGATAACTGGAATTATCACATTACTTTCTGTTACATTACCTTTTTTTGTTACATTTACACATTGCTTTCTTCTGCTTTCTTCTGCATATCATTTCCCGCTCTACTGTCTGTTTTAGTTTTTAAAAGAGTAGAAAATTATAGGGAAGAGAAAGAGGGCGTAAGAAAGAACAAATAGTTAGCTTCACAAAATCGATCACAATAAACAAAGGACCTTGCAGCTTTTAGCCTTCATCAGCGCATAAAGAACAACACAGTACTCATACACAAAAATGCTCTAACTATTAAATGACTGCATAGGACTCTAATGAATAAAATAAATGATACTTATCTGTGTCCATGGCGAAAAACCATTCAAGAGGATGAACAGGACAGGTGTTAGCCTATATATCGCCAGTGCGCGGACTGGAAGCGAAAACTGGGTCGGTATACCTGGGTAATGGGCGGAGTAGACGCCAACAGATACTGTCTGCTATATTTTGTTTTTGCCTTGCTCCTACATTATGTTTTCGCTTTATTCCTAGATCACGTTTTCACATTTCTCTCTCTCTCCCTCTCTCTCTCTCTCGCTCTCTCGCTCGCTCGCTCTCTCTCTCTCTCTCTCTCTCTCTCTCTCTCTCTCTCTCTCTCTCTCTCTCTACATTGTTTAGTTCTCCAATACTTTCCTCATTGCGTTGTCTAAGGACTCTCCGTGTCGGAGTAGTCAAGAAGTTTGTCTCACACCCTGAAGGTCGCAGTTTCGTTTTACGTCGGCGGCGTTCATTTCAGGAGTGCAGTTTTTATGGAGACTCCCGGGGACATTCCCAAAAGCACTCCGTCCCCATCCTCAGCAGCCAGTGAAGAGTTCCGATACTAATGGTGCCAGTAGCATTTTGATTAAACGTCCGTCTTGCCTTGCCTTTGAGCCTCGAGTATCTGCCAGAACCTTTAGGCGTTTCCCGCTGCATCAATCTCACCAGACTACGGTGATCCGTCTGCTCCTCCAAACTGTACACGCTCTCCCACAAGGCACTAACCTCAGTGCTAGATGTTCTGCTGAGAGAGACTGGGCCATTGGGATAATACTCGGTGCACCAAAGTGGATCTCACCTTTACCTTTACCTTTACCTTTGTTTTGTGTTGTCTGTTGATTGTATCACATTCTAGTACGCAGTTCTGTTATATTTTAATAGTTTGCAGTGTAAGTTGCATTACCTTCTTCTAGATTGCTTTCCTCTCGTCTCAATTTGTGTATATGAAGTTCAGTTCATTTTATAATACTTTGAAGCCTGGTTAAATATGGCTGCCTTGATAGGCTGTGTGTTTTATTCAGGCCTACATTATTAGGTTAAACTCTATTATATGCCGGTTTCTCTCTCTGTAATTCTATTACTCTTGTGTGCTGCATGTTGTTTCTACTTGTGTTTTTTGTTAGTTCCTGGCACATTTTCTTCTGCGCTCTGCTCTGTATTAATAATTTTATGTTACGTAACTGGTTTCTGACTTTTTAATTTAGGGTAAACTTCATCATATTAACTACTAGAAATTTCTTTCTTCTTTACATTACACGCTTCGTTTTTTTTTTTTTTTTGGGGTCTGTTTTTTGTTTTTTAATTTCCGTCGATTACATTTGGTTGCTTTGGTGAGGACGCTTGTGAAGACTGCATTTAAAGATATAAAAGTTGTTTAATGACGTTGTGATCGATGTTAATAGTATCCCACACTCCCATTGAAAAGTCTCTGTGCTGTAGGTCGCCTGCGACTCGGAAGGTCGAGGGTTAGGGTCCTGCCAGAACTGGACGTTTTTTTTTTAAATGCTCTTGGCTCCCAGGTCGACCCAGCCTTGAATAGGTACCAGGTAAAGTCGAGAGAAGTAAAGGCGGCCGGCGTGATGCTGACCACATCCCCACCGAGCACCGAGTGCCGATCGGTCTATAAAAATACAGGTCTAGCCCTATATGCCCAAAACGGCTGAAGGCTTACAGCCCTATTAGACTGCAGATTACGCTGTAGCCGTTGAATTAAGAATCGAGATCACAGCACTCGGGACACCCATATAAGCGCTACGTCTCCATCTTCAGCAGCAAGCGAAGAGTTAAAATTCCGATGGTACAAGTAACTGTCTGTATATCCGTCTCGTCTTTCCCCTGAGTGTTGAGCGTCGGCCAGATTCTCTTGTAACTACTCGCAGCGCTATTCTCCTCAGACCGTAATGATCTATCTGTGCGTCGGTACTGTTCACTCTCTCCCAAAGGGCCTTGATAACATACAGCTTGTCATACATCAGTTCATCACCAAGTGTGGCTCATCCACTGCTTTATCTCACTCAGTTCCAGACATCGACTCTTTACCTCACTCAGTCTCAGATATGCACTACTTTACCTCACTCAGTGGATGACTGTGACAGGTAAAGTAGTGGATGTCTGGGACTGAGTTGAGGTAAAGAAGTGGATGTCTGGGGCTGAGTGAGGTGAAGTTGTCGTGTTCTCTAACCAGCGGAAAGCTGCAGCGACCGCCTCCACCTCCAATCATAAGCTGGGTGTTGTGGTATCATATGCTAGTCTCTCCTGCGTGAGATAAAATAATAGTCGTCTGGGACTGTATAAAGTACTGACAGTGGTCTCTGCGACTGAGTAAAACTGAATAATATTCTGCGCAATCTTTCTTTGTCAGCTGAGACGATAAAGAGAGTTCTGAAGAGCTGTATAAATCTTTTCCTGTTATACAGAAGTGAATCACGTACCTTTGGGCGATTAGCGAAAAATCATTTAGAAACAGTCGAGATGTGGTTTTATAGACGAATCATGAGAATACCATGGACAGATCAAAAGAGTAATGAAGATGTCTGGAAATCTTCTACTCACGAAGAGAACTGATTGCCCACATCGGAAGGAGGCAATCTAAATTCTTTGCTCATGTCATGAGAGTGGGGAAACTGGAGTAAATCGGGACGGTAGGAAAGTTGGAGGAGAAACAGGGCAGAAGGAACCTAGAGAGAAGATGCTGAACAGTCTGGCATCATATCATGGAGGATCATTTATGTGAGAATTGACTGAAAATACACGAGACAGAATGTTATAGATAAAACTGTCTGCCAACGACGTACAGCATGAAGACTGCCGTAAAATCTTGCTCTGGTGATCATACAACGCTGCTGATTTTTTTTTTTTTTTTTTTTTGAGGGGGGGGGGGGGGGGAGGGGGGGGGGGTTAGGGCTAATCCAAAGCCTAAGTGTTCTGTTTCGAATGTATTTTCTTTTATCCCATTAAAACACCTATTTCTAATGTATGGGGTCACATTGCTTCTATAAAATTGGATCGAAACTCGAAAAAAGGCACCTTTGTCTACATTTGCTGTCTTTGCACTTTGAGCGTCTTTGATTATCTGCCTGTATACTTGTGCTGTTTCACTTTATGTAGAATTCACACAGCTTGTCTGTTTTTCATTCACTTGTTTGTTACACTAAATTTTAACTTCTATTATTCTCAAAATCTGGCTAGATTTATACTTCATTCTTTTTTCTCGATCCTCTCAAAGCGCTTTTATATATCTTTGCTGTTTATCCCTCTCTTGCTCTGTGCTGAATTAACCAAACATAGCGCGTATAGAATAAACACCTATCTCCCCATCTAATACAATCACAACACGCGTCTATGCTTCTTCACTTCAAACTAAACGACTCTGAAAATTGATTTTGTTCAGAGCACGAGTGGTTGCCTTCAATCACGCCGATCTTCCCTATGGAGTTGTTCTGCTTACTTGCAGCTCTGTCAATGCACAAAATGTCGGCGCTATTATTTTTGATAGATGTGTCATTACATGCATGAGGCGAATTTGGCGAAATATAAACAGTACGAAGCTGTAAACGCTACATAGAAAACATGGGAAAGGGCTAATAAAATGGCAAGTTAAATGTGTGTTTTTCGAGTGTTTTTCGTAACGCACAAATGGAAAATAAAACATACTTGTGACTTTTTTGTTTGTTAACGGTGCAATGGGGGGCCGTCTCCGCAATGTTTAGTTGCAGTCATTTGCGGGTTTAAGATTCGAGCCTGCCATCTCTCTCTCTCTCTCTCTCTCTCTCTCTCTCTCTCTCTCTCTCTCTCTCTCTCTCTACATCCTCCTCCTCGTCGTCGTCGTCGTCCCCCTCCTCCTTCTTCTTCTTCCTCTTCTTCTTCTTCTTCTTC